TGCACGCGCCTCGGAATACAGGAAACACGTCGGCCGTTTCGTGGGGCAGGCTCTCCCGACATGGCCGGTCGCGCCGCACCTCCAACAGCACTGTCCTCTGTCAGGTCCTTTGCAGTCCGTTCGTCTATGTCCATATCCGAGGCACCGGTATCACCTCGGGACCGTCAGTCTTTCTCTCAGCCGACAGTTGACCCAGCCGATCTTGATTCTGCCCTTCTTGAGCAGTTTGTGGGCCGTGTCTCTATCTGCTTCGAACACCGCCATACAAACGTCGTACTTATTACGTCCGAAAATGTGGATCTTAAAGTCCACATCTTGTCCTGTCTCTCGTTTCAGTGCATTCTGTACATCGTTCGTGTCTGTAACACAGTCAAGGTCTAGTATCTCTAGCGTCTATCCATGTGTCATGTCTCGTACATTACCCTCAATTCCAAAAGTAACCTGAAGTTTCTCCTGGAACTTCCGTCTTTCGTCTGCGCCACAGCGAAAGCGCATGAGGAGTCCTCCGTCCTTAGTCTTTCGATAACCCGAGATACTCACTTTAGAGCCCTCGGGATTGATCTCTGTCTTTAGTCGGCGTAGAGTATCCGCGTACGTTCGTCTGTCGTTTGGCCGTACCAGTATAACGTTGGTCCCCCCCTTCCGGCGAGGACCAGCCGCCCTGGGCCGGTTCTTGTCCAGTTCGGACCGCTTGTTCCTGTGGGTAGGCGTCGCCGCTGTGGATGTCGAAGCTTGTGGCCTCTCCGTCCGCGCGCTCAGTGCCACCACAGGGGTAGCCTGTTGCGTCTTCTGTTTGAGGGAAGTCGTCTCAGTCGTTTGGTCATTAGTCTTCTGTTTAGAATTCCTCTTTTTCCTGTTCGTGGAGTTTACCGAGGTGCAGCCCGACTCATCCGTAACCTTTTGATAGGCCACGGCTTGCTCAGGGCTGGCCCCGGTGGCCTCCCCCTTTCTTTTCTGACTTTCTGTCCTCCTATCGTTTACGGACTGCAGGAGGGGATTTAGGCGGTCGCATTCACTCCATGCAATCTCCACCGCCTCCTTTATTACAGCCATACTAGTCGTTATGTCCATACTAATATTTCTCTGAATCTTCGTCCGTGCCTCCATCTTTTCGAGCGCGGCATCAATGCGCCTGAGCTGCGCGCGAAGAAGCTGGAGGTTTTCTGTCGTCTGTCCATTGTCATTATCCACGTCTTTCATGTCGATGACAGTGTTGGTGGTCGACGTTGTTGGCGTGCTGGGTTGCACTTGAGACTGCTTTTCGGAGTCCTCGTTTTTCCGCGCAGGTGGCACTGTAGAGCCTGCTATATTAGTTTTTTTGTTATCCATGGTTCTTTCTACGTTGTGTGTATAATGTATCGTGTAGTGGTTAGAATGAAACTCATCGTGATAGGAGACCAGCGATCCGTCCTCGACCCCCCCAGTACCAGAGCGCCCCGACAGTCCAGTGGTCTCGGAATACAATGGCAGCCGCGAATGACCACCACCATAAAAGTTCCTAGCCCCCCCCCCCTCCCGCAGCATGGACCCATCCGATCGCCAATCGGCACTACTACGAGAGGTAAGATTTTTAACTTTCGCTATACCAATGTGCGGGGCAGCCTCCCAAGTTGGCTATACCTGGGTTCGGGCCCCATCCTATTGGCAGCCCAGCAGTGCCAGCTGGTGTTAACGCTGTATCCTCTTAGAGTGGAGGCACACACTGGCATGAGGAGGTCCTCTCTTGATCACCTTTATCTCCCTTTCACGATTCGTATCTGCTAGAATCCTTAGTCTGTCCGCCTCATTCTCTCTCGAGCGATGCTCGTTTATAGAGCCCTCGTCCTGGCGTGTTCGTATGGGATTAACCGTTTATAGGTCAGGGAGGATTAACTACCGATACGTCTAGTCGCAAAGTCGAGGATTAGTGCCCGATCGCAGAGCAGCGCAGGAATTATAACTGGTGTCATCCGAGCTATCCCGAGTGCCGAAACGAGCCGACTTTGAAGTACAGCAGCGGTGCCTTCTTCCGTCCGGAAAGTGTGCGTGCAAGTGTGCGTGCAAGTGTGCGTGAGCGGAGAGTTTCGCCATCGAGGGCGAAACCGTAAACGAGAGATATCTCCACCCGCAGATAAACATTGCCGAAAGACTAGCGTGTGCCGTACGAGTCTCCATCACCTCACTTGTTACCCGTGCGAGAGTTAATAAGGTAAGCTGGCCAGCTTCATTTCGCGATTGTTAAATAATTGCTAATAACTAATCTTTCGTGCTCCGTAAGAAGCGTGCATGTAATAACTCGGCGAACAAAGAGTGGCGAGCGATCCGACACTGCATGTTATTGTCGCGCGCGCGCGTCTTGTAAACATAAACGCGCGGGCCGAATATAGTGTAGTATTAAGAGGCAATAAACAATCCCGTATGTGATATTAACAGTATTTTCGACGTATTTATTTCACGTTAGTAGATAGTTGGTTGACTGACACCCGTTCCCTTCTGCTCTCCGGTCTTCGTGTTTGAACATTCAGGTAATCACGCGCGCTTTTGTATGCGATCGCGCGCTTAAAATAAAAAGACGGTATTAACCCCGTTACAGGTTATAGCTAATTGTAAGTAAATTTTCTTTTAGTGAAAACATAAGTATTTTGTATTCTTTCAAAAACAATTTGTACAATTTAAATATCTTAATTTTTTTCATTTGTAGAATGGAAAAATCGTTTTTCAAAAATCGAAAATTCAGTATAAATCAAAAACGTGTTGATAAAATCAAAATGGATTCTTTTCATGCATTCAGGATAGAAAAACAAAAGTGGATACCAAATTTTATCGATATCTGATGGACAGTTCAAAAATGGTATACGTATATATACACACACACACACACACACACACACATCCATACAGAAATTTTCTAAAAACACGTTTTTTGAACTTCAAACGAAGTTTTTTTTATGAAGCTGAAAATTTTACTATTACAAAGCTTCTTCTAGGAGGAAGCAAAATTTTAAGACGATTGCTTTTACGATTTTCAAAATATCTTGGTCCCCAAAAAACAACTCTGAAAAAGACAGGTTTCCTTAACATGGCTATAATTCCCTTAATTTACAATATTTTTCAACACCAAAATTCATGAAAGTTTTTCAATATATCTACTTTGGAACCAAAAAAAGACAGTTTTAATTTCTCAAAAAGATCACACACAAAATTTTCTTGTTTACAAATTTTGGAATTTGAGGTGACTTGGTTAAAAAGCACAGGTATCTAGCCTATTTGTTGTTTAGGGGTTTAGGGTTTAAAGCTCTTTAGTTCACATGTACAGGCTACAAAGATCACACATTTGTAAACAAGTTTTTATGAAACTTAAAATTTTTTTTCGATATTTTCGTCCACCACATTAGTTTCGCCATTTTAAATTTTCAAAATCTGATATCAGATTTGTAAAGAGCGATCTCGAAAACCCCTATATACAAACCTTCTACAAAATATTATGGATTCAAGTATACTTATAGTTATTTTGTGTTAAGGTGGTTTACCCCCCCCCCCCCCCCGGGTAGTATCTATGTAAAAACTGAAAAACTTAATTTGTTTATTATAGATGTTTACAAATTTTTTCCAATTTTTTTTAATCATTTAAAACTTTTTTATTATATAAAATTTTTTTCGATATTTCTGTCCGCCATATTGGTTCCGTCATTTTGAATTTTCAAAATCTGATAACAGATTTGTAATCAGCGACTTCGAAAACCTCTATAAACAAACTTTCTACGAAATATTATGTATTGAATTACATATTTACAGTTATTTTATGTTAGGGGTGGTTTACCCACCTTAGGAGTAATTAATATTTATGAAAATGCCGAAAGATGTCAACTAAATTTTGTTATTATGGATGTTTAAACATTTTTTCCAATTTTTTTTAGTCGGTTTAAACTTTTTTATTATAATATTATGCCAAAAAATATATGTTTTCAACCCCTAAAAATAGAGGATGCTATCCTTACTCTTCAAATCACCATGAAATATTTGCTCCTTTTGTAAGAAATAACCTTCAATTTGTTTCACTGAAAAATATTAATTTTAAGCCGAGATATTAAAAAAAACGCTTTTTCGGGGTTAACTTCAGAAGAGGTTTTTACCCCTTAAAAGTGAAAATTAGCCGATAAAAAAATACGTGTCTCTTATTTTTTTATGTTCTACAATATGTATTAAAATCATCAAAATCGGTGAGTTCGGGTTGGGAACCTTTCCTTGTGAGTAACAATTTTCCACTCAAAGCGCATGCGCGAAACAATGTCATAATCACCTTTTTTAAATACGCAAGGGTATTATTTTATTTTAATTAATTAAGTAATAAACTTTTTAATAATTTTATGTTGGGTGCCAATAATGCGTGAGACGCACTAACGATTGGTGTATTGTAAAAAATTATTTTCAGTGCTAGAGCTAGCACCTATAATTAATTTTATCTGTTTTTCGCTTAAAGAACATTGTCATAATCGACGCACAAACGATATATGATCAATTAAAAGCCGCATCGAATTATGTAATAAGTTTATAGATTTATTAAATATTTCAATTGCTCGGTGCTAACTTTTAAGACCTGAAATGCCGGCTATGAATCTTGATCATAGTTATATAAACGATATAGATACAATACAACTTTATGAAAATAAAATTTTTTGTAACTTCATCGGATTCTTATCACCGATCTAGTCGCTTGTGACAGCGGGGCTGGGAAGCCAAAGTGGTGCGATTCTGTAAAAAGCATCCAGCAGTTGACTTCAGACCTAACAATTTTCGTAAAGTGGAAGCGAAAATTGTGAAGTCTGAAGTCAACTGCTGGAAGCTTTTTGATAGTATCCCCAACCCTGTGGGAAGCTCAGCCACCAGGCGACGACCAGACAAACCAAGGGAGGGAGTGAGATACTGAGATGCAATTGCAATGCCACAAATAGATCGTGCTGCTGCCTAACGAGAATCGCAGATTACTTCATTGTTCAATCTTCATATACTCAGAGTGTCACTAATGCACCAATACTCATCACTATATATGTAAAATTTTCCTTTGTAGTTTGTGTTGTGATATGATTCTATAGTTGATTGACTAGTTTACGGTTTACACTGTTGTCGCTATCGATATTGTGCCTATTATGCGTTTTATTTAAGTGTTTCATTCATGAGTATATGCAGAAAAATCACTATTGAAAAATTCAATTGAATTTCATTAAGATTGAAAATTTACATTATTTTATTATGGCTGGAAATCGTGATGTTATTCTTGCAGATTTTCAGGTAAATTAATTCATCCAATGTCGTACATCAATAATTTTTTATGCAACTTACTATGCTAGAAAGGTTATGTTATGAGCTTAATTTTATTGTATGGAGTATGGAGTTCAACGACATTAACAATTAACACAATATATTTTGATTTGAAGAAACGTAATATTTTATAGACCTTGCAATTTGGTTTTATTTTATAAAATTCAAACGTTTCTGTTTTTAAATTTGTTTGTTTACTGGGAAATGCTAACATGTTTACAGTGAAAACAAAGAGGTTTCTTTCTTTGTGTAACAATTTTTTGATGTATTTTTTAATTTATATGAACGTAGACTAAAAATTATTTTTATGTCACAGGCATGTACTGATATTGATGATGTTGGAGAAGCTATTTTACATTTGGAAGGAACTAATTGGGATTTATTAGTAAAAATCATTATAACTATCTTTTTGTTATTGTAACAAATAAAACATGAAATTTCATTTAATGTTTTTATTTTTAGGCTGCAATCAATAATGTAATGCCACAAAATACACAACAATTGCCATCGGAATTAAATAGAGATATTGAAATGATTGAAGAAATCAAACATGTATCTAAAAATTCATCAAACACAATTTCTACGTTACAAAATAAAAGTTTGAATTCACCTAAGGTAGAGATTTTACCTGGTACTAGTAGTTCTAAAACTTTATGTAAGTCATTACCTGGATCAAGTCGATTAAAAGAGCAATCAAAAATACTCACATTCCATGTACATTATCAATCTAAAACAGTTAAAATTGAAATGTCTGATACAAATACAATTGGTAAATTGGAATAAAACACTTAATCTTTTGGCTAATTTCAAAATAATAATTTATCTTTATATCGATTTTTATAGGAGATCTAAAATTGTCAATATTTAATCATACAAAAGTTCCACCTTGCCAGCAACTTTTACATGGATGGAAAAATGAACCACAAACTGATTCAATTACCTTGAAATCACTTGATTTGTCTCAAAAAAATGAACTTTTTATGTCCCTTGCTGCTGATGCGGGTGATCATTCATCAGAGGGGTAAGAAACTTTTCTAACTATGGAGTTTATCATTACTGATTGCTAATGACTTTATTTTTTATCATTACATTGTTTCAGCATTAAACTCTCAGACCGTTTGAGCAGTACTTATGTTTTGAACATTAAAGATGAAATCAATAATGTTACCTATAAATTAAATTTTCCTGGTTCTCTCACTATTCTGGATGTAAAAAGTAATATATACACACTAAATGACGTACCTGTTCGAAACCAATTATGGAAAGGTTGGCCATCGACTCTAAAAAGTGATTCAATTTCTCTAGCACAAAGTGGTATACCTTATCCAGAACACAATCTTTTAGTTGACAGAATACCATCAAAAGAAATAAAAAAAGTAATGTTTCTACAAAATTTTGTGAAATATTATTATATAATATTTTTTTAAAATTTATATTGATTTCAGGAAATCATAGATTTGGTGGATACCGACAGTTCCATTGACGATCAAGAGGATGGTGAAGATTATGAGGATGCTCCAGAATCCTTTCAAGTTGATGATGATATTTTTGTAGAACATGTTCAATCTGCTAAAATACAGCATCTTAGTAAATACCATGTTCAAATTAAACTAGCGAAATTAGTTTAATTAAATTTGTTTAATTTTTTATTTCATTAGTTCCAGATAATACTGAAGATGAAATTGTTGGGACCATTCATTTTTTGGAAGAGTACAAAAGAAGATATGGACCTGTTCATCCACAATTTTTCACCGGCACATTTGAAGATGCAGTTGCTGAATCATGTTCTAAACTCCCAAGAGAAGTAATATATCATTAAACATTGAAATTACATTTCGTGTATAACACTTAATCTATTACATTATTGTTTAACTCTGTTTAGAGGAAGTTACTAGCAGTATACTTACATCATGATAACAGTATTTTAGCAAACGTTTTTTGTACCCAATTATTGGACTTTGAAACAGTTCTGCAGCTTTTATCAGCTAATTTTGTGATATGGGGATGGGACTTTACCTATGAATCAAATAAACAAAAGTAATTAAATATTTATTATAATTAACATTAACAATATATAAATAAGTCTTTTTTATTGACTTTTATCTATTTCTTAGATTTCTTACTTCTATTCAACAAATACTGGGGTCTGCAGCTGCAATGACTGTACGAAATATAGAAGTTGATACGATGCCTGTTCTTATGATTATTATGAGGTCCAGGTCTAATACGGATGTTTTCACAATTATTCATGGAAATGTTGGTGTGAATGAGTTGCTTACTAATTTAATAGAAGCTGTTGATGTATTTCAAGTAAGGAAATTCATATAATTTATAATTTTTAAATTTAAATTGAGATGTTTGAAAGCAACAACAGACATTTCTTATTAGGAACAAAAACAAAGTGATATTGAGTTTGAAGATGAAAGACAAGCAAGAGAACGAGTTAAAGAAGAACAAGATCAAGCTTATCAAGAAAGCTTAGCAGCTGATAGGTAATCATAATCAAATTATGTAGTGTAATAGATATTAGATATTTCATATTTTAACTGTGCTTTGGTGTACAATCAATCAAAAAAAATTTCTTATTAAAATATCTAATGTACACAATAGCAAACTTTATTATATTATAACTCTTTTAGAGCAAAAGAAGAAGCTAAGCAATTATTAGAAAAAATAGAAAAAGAAAGGAAAGAGCAAGCAGAGAATGAGAGGTTAGCTGAACAAGCTCGTAAAGAAGCTCATAGACTAGAAGTAAAATCAAATTTACCACCTGAACCTCCTCAAGATGTTGAAGATGTTTTAAAAATTAAAGTTCGACTCCCGTCAGGAAATGTTTTAGAGCGTAGATTCAATACTAATGCTTCACTTCAGACATTATTGAACTTTTTAATTGTAGAGGGATATCCTACTGAAGATTACAAGGTCATATCAAGCTGGCCTAGAAGAGATGTAAGTAACTTGAATTATACAAATCATCACAGTAAATGACATTTTTATTTTGTTTGATCAAGTATAAATAATAGATTTTACATTATTGTTTACATTTCAGCTCACAAATGTTGATCCTTTTCTTACACTGAGTGATTTGAAATTTTGTTCACAAGAAACGGTAATTTTGGAAGAACGATGAATTAACGATAAAATAAATATTTAAAATTTGTCGAACTGAAAGTGCTGATTTTTAAGTGTATTTATTAAATATAATTTTTTCTTTGTAGTTCAGAAAAATTTTGTGTGTATTTGTTAAGTATCTATGTTTGTATAATGTGCTTTTCTATTATACAAAACAAAATATCACGTGACAAACTTAGTTCTTTTATAAAAGATTTTCATGCATGAAAATTGTATGATACAAATTTTAAAGACAGACTAATAAAATAGGCTGTAACAAACTTGTTTTTTACGATTATTTTATTATGTGAAATTGTATATTCAAATTTTTTTATTTTAAATTAAAAACCAAAGATTAAATTTTCACACTTATGTAAATCGACAAGCTATAAAAAAATGATAATCATAATTACAAATATAAAGAAGCTGCAAATACAATATCTCTTTTTAATAATTTAATAGCTTCACTAAATTTGTTTTCAAGGTCTGTATTTCCTATATTTTTTGCTGCTTGTAACAGTTGTCGAAGTACTTCTTCTAATCGCCGCATACACCGAATGATAGAACCTAAATGAGTATAAAAATTTGAATGTATAGTAATACAAGTATTCAGAAATATTTTTGATAAAAAAAATTTATTCGAAATATTTACCTTCAAAAATGTCGGTCATCTTGCATATTTGTAAAAATGTGGCACCTTTACACCACGCATAAACAACGTCCATTAAAAATGGCTTAAATTTTTCTACGTATGAATCTTCATCTAATTCTAAGTTTGCCTCTGTAGATACTTTTGCTATTCTTCTAGCTATATCTTGCATTTGCCTTAATGGTCCGCTCAATTCTTCTATACTTTTAGGAGTCTCGCTTGATTTGTCGTCACACACAAAACAGCTGATTAATGCTGTCATTTGTGGAACTGTCAAAGAATTGAAAAGTCCATTGAAAATCATTTCAGTCAATAATAACTCGTCTGCTCCATTCAATTCACACGCTACTCGGCCTTTTAATTCTATAACGTCTGCGGCTGTACAGTAAGCCAATCGTCGTAACACTCGTTTTCTGCACTTTAGTTCATCCATTTGTAAAACGGATTTTGCACTTTTCAATTCCATCTTAGCATCTACTAGTTTTTTTCCAATACTCTCTTTTTCCAAAAATGTTTCATACAATTGACTTAAATTAGGATCCTTCAAATACAATCTTTTTTTAGTACATATTTATATATTCAACAAATTTGTATAACAATCTTTTAAAAGATTAAAAGATAAATAAAATTAGACAAAAATGAAAACAATTTTACATAGAAAATACATATTGAAAATCTTACTTTGTGCATTGGATGTTCGAATAAACGTTCTTCTAAAACTTCTATTCTTTTAATTATATCTTTGAACTCAGAATCTACTATTTTCATATCTTCAATTGGATTTAGTAGAGGTGGGCCTTCAGGAAATCTTTTCTTCACCTCCTGTATAGTTTTCAAGACACTTTTTCTGTTATCTGTTGGTCTTAAATCTTTTGGATAGTAGACGCGAAGAGAACTTATTTGCGATATTAGAGTGTGCAGTACAGGCACAACTTCTGATTCGCCTTCCTCTCCTTCTGGACAAGGTTTTGGGATAGATTCAGTCGATTCCTTAGAAACATGTAGCAAAATATCTATAACAATAATTGTCTTCTCTTTTTCAGGGTTTTTAGGGTTTTTCTTTTTGAAATTAACAATAATACCCCAATCAAATTCATAATGTTCATTTTTAACCTATTTTACAAATTACTTTATTAATTAACTATATTCTGAAATGATTATTAAAAAAAAAACGAGATAATATACTTTGACCAGTCTGCCTGGCTGAAGAAACGGTAGTAAGTATTCTGGTTTGGTTAAATATGATCTGAAATCTATACTTAGGCGATCCAACTGTTCTCTGATATCATGATAAGATGACATTAAATTAAAATTTTCAAATTGAATACCATCATATTGAATTTGTAACTCTTTGACACCTGAAAAAAAATGTTATAAAAGTTAATATACAATACTCTAGAATTACATTTTCTTGTAATGAAAATTTTACTATTAAAAAGTTCAGGAATGGCAGCTTGATTTTGAAATTGATAAAAGCTTCTTTCTAGCATATATTCAGGATTTATTTCTTCTACTCTAAGTAGATTTAATACCATATTATAAGTCAAATGAAATGCCGAATTTATAGGGTCGGCTTTTCCTTGTACTATTTCTTTACCAACAATTGGACTAACTTGTTCATCAATCATAAGAATAACAATGCCCTTTTCATCCAGACCTCGTCTACCGGCGCGCCCACTCATCTGTATGTATTCACCAGAAGTAATCCATCGAAAATCTTTGCCATCAAATTTACGCGGTGCAGTAAACAAAACTGTTCTAGCAGGCATATTTAAACCCATTGCAAAAGTTTCGGTTGCAAATAGTGCTTTAATTAAGCCTTCTCCAAATAAAATTTCTACTGTTTCTTTTAAAATGGGAAGCAGCCCGCCATGATGTATACCAATTCCACGTCTTAATAAGGGCAGAACATTTTCTACTTGAGGTAACTTTCTATCATCTTCATTGAGAACATCCATTGCATTGCTAAATACTTCATCAACTAATCTTTTTTCCTCTGCTGTATTAAGGTCTAATTTAGCAAGTTGCATAGCATATAATTCGCAATCTTTTTTTGAGAAACTGAAAATAATAACTGGGGCAAAATTTCTTTCCATTATCATTTTTACTATCTTGAAAATGTTTGAATGTCCAGCATTAGTTTTATGCATTCCACCTTTACGTCCTTTTGTGTCACCTTTTGCACTGTCACCTTGCAAACAAGTCATAGCTCTATTGAAATTATCTTCTTTAAACTCACCATATTCATTAACTACCTATAATAGAAATTTAGATAATTATAAGATTTTACACATTCTTTCAAGATAAATAACGAACCAAGTGAATTCCATCTGCACCAACAGGAAATATGTAGTGCTGTAAAGGAGTTGGTCTATAATCGGTGTAGACAACATGACAAGGTTGGTGGTGTAAGTGAGCAACCCATTCTACAAACTCACGAGCATTTGGTATTGTGGCAGAAAGAAAAACATAATGCACATTATCTGGTAACAAAATTAATGTTTCTTCCCAAACTACACCTCGTTCTTTATCTCTCATGTAGTGTATTTCATCAAATATTACCCATCCTACTTCCCGCATTACCTATATAATTTCAAAGCAAAATATAAAATAAAAAAAAGTAATAACCTTAAGCAAATAATTGATTAATTGGTTTTTTAAACTGACCTCTGAACCCCTATAAAGCATATTTCTTAAAATTTCAGTTGTCATAATTAAGATACTTGCAGTTGGGTTTATTGTTACATCACCTGTGACTAAACCAACATCTTTAAACTCCTCATAAAATTCTCTATATTTTTGATTACTTAGAGCTTTGATAGGAGTTGTGTATATGACTCTTTGTTTATCTCTCAAAGAGCAAGCAATGGCATACCTATAAATTTTATTAGCACAAAATTATTAACATCAAGATATATTTGGTATTATTCATAATTTTATAATAAATTTAAGATTAAATTATTACTCAAACTATTCGATAAACAATTAAAATTATATGCTCACTCTGCTACTACAGTTTTGCCTGCTGATGTGTGTGCTGATACTAAAACTGATTGATTATTTTCAATACATAAAATAGCTTCCCTCTGAAAAGGATCAAGTACAAATTTATATTCTTTGGCTGGTTTTGTTGTTACATTCTCTAAGGGAACATAATCTTGATCTGGAGGTATTGCAACTTCATGAGTACATGATCCCAATGTATCAATAGAATGAACTTTTATTCTAGATTCAATTTCATTCAAACTATGCAGTAAATAATTTTCATATTAAAACAAAAAATTGACAATGTATGAAATACAATCAATTACATGACTTAGTACACAAATAATTTCAATCAAATACTTACTTAATGTCTTCAAGAATAGCTTCAGTTTTTAATTTCTTTACAACTGTCTCTCCTCTAATTTCATCGTTTTCTCGCTTAAAGCCTTTTGTTAAACTAAAATCCATTTATTTATGGTATATTAATGAATATAAATAATAAATAAAAGAAATACGAATGGTATGAAATGGAAATTGTAGGTTATGGTAAGGTCATAATTTTTTAATATATTGCGGTTCAAATAAACATTAAATAATATACCTGTTTTGCAAAATATCATCATTAGTTTCTTCAAACGCGTCAAATAGATCGTCGCATCCAAAATTAGCCATTTTCCAAAATAGAAAAAAAACTTGTTTTAGTATGTTGGCGTGATCAACATTAAATTTGAAAACACCTCGTTCAGTCAATTGGGATAAGTCCGTTCAGTACAAGGTTGAGCAATCCTGAAAGACATCCTCAAAAAACTTCCTGCAGTTGACTTCAGACCTTACAATGTTCGCTCCCGCTTCACATAAGGTCTATTCAAATCAAACTTTCTGAAGTCAACTGCAGGAAGCTTTTTAAGGATCTCTTCCAGAATTGCCCGACCCAGAGTTTAGTACGTATTCAGGCCTCGGTCACATATGTATGTACACTTGCGTACGAATGCGCACAAATCGCATCAATGTGGAGTTTCGATAGTTTACTTTGGAAAAAAAGGCTCTCTGAAGCTGGATACGTAGAACTTCCGTACGCTTTACCGAGCAAATGTTTTCTATTCCTCTCATTCCGGCCCTCGCCAGATATGTGCATACGCGCGCGTACGAGCGCGTACAAACGCGTACAAATCGCTAAAAATTTTGATAGTGCCAACAACAGAAAGTTACTACTATTCCTCGCATGCCCCAAACGAACACACTTACTCCCGGAACAAACGTATCATTAACGCTATATTATTGAAGGTTATGATCATGTAGACTGTATACAGGAGGCGAGGCAGAGAAGGTCCAAAAAGTTAGCACCCAGAATCCTTTTTTTAAGCTAATCGATAAACTAATTATACCGTTAGATATTTCGTCAGGATAGCAATAACTTTTCTCTTTGTCGTTTGTTGGTTCGTCCAATGGAAATCCTTAAAATTAATAAAATAAGTCTTAGGTGCTGGCCTTAGCACCCAAACCAAAGTTGCGGTCAAACCTAGAAAATATTAAGTAAAAAAATTCGTAAGTAAACCGATCGTTAGTTCGTCTTACGAACTAACAGCACTCATAATAAAATCATGACTAATTTGATTATTTAAGCAACTAAAAATAAAAAACTATTTCGAATATTGGCTCACGTTCAAACGCCAAAGCGCGGTACGCATGCTTCCTGAATTATCTCCGTCGGTACCCGAACCCCCGCTCTTATTTTTTACTACACCTGTTTGATTTTAATACATCAGATCAAATCAAACTTTATAGTAACATTAGTAAACATTAGTAACTAGTACCTATTGTCCAATCAATGGGTAAATGGAATTTAAAAAAGTTACGCTTCGCGTATTAATTACTCAAATACATAAGGAATTGTTCAACAGTGGCACTGGTAACTAAATAGCACACGAGCACACCGGTTTTCGTTTGAACACTTTTTTAACCTAAAAAAGTAGCTATTGTGATAAATTCATACTAATATTTAGCAAAGTGCACTTTTAGTTGTTGTTGCTATCCTGACGAAATATCTAACGGTATAATTAGTTTATCGATTAGCTTAAAAAAAAGGATTCTGGGTGCTAACTTTTTGGACCTAGGCAGAGACGATTTATCTAGGCAACTTTCTCTTTTTCTCGGAGGGAATTAGCCGATTTTAGCGCCGCGCTCGGTAGTTAGTGAACCACTAGAAGACTTATAATGAGCGCAGCTTATCGACCATGGAGATGTATACAGTCTCCATGTTATCGACCATGGTACTGTAGGTGACGAAGATAACCCGCCCTTGCATATCTTTTTGTAAAAAGGAATCCATTAATTTTATAGAAAATTAATACTATTTTACGATGAAAAAGTCTTGCAATATATCATTTTTGTTATTTTTTTGAAATGGTAGAATACGCTTTTCGATCACTCGATTTTAATAATTTTATAGTTATTTTTGTTTTTATATTTCCTTATTAAACAATATAATGTCTAATAATAAATAACATTCGATATACTTAACTTTAATGATAGTTACGATGATTAATGTGGACATTGTCAACTATCCACGAAATTTTTACCGTGTAAAATAATTATCTTTTTAATAGAAAAATATTGTTACGAAAGTCATAATTCAATTGTATAAAAAGCATAGATTTTTAACATAAAAATTTACCATAATTATAATTATTTTTTAATTTATTAGTAATTGTCACCTGTTTTGAATTTAGTAAAAACTAAATGTTGGCAATTACTTTGATTTTGAATGACAACAAAAAATGAATCAATTATCTTCTTTAGATTTGGAGACGCGACATTTGGACAACGAGTGCGAAAATTGCATTTGCAATCGTTCTCCAGTGATGCTGCACGCCATCAACTTACAAATGCTAGAGAGAGAGTTTTGGTGGCTAAATTAAGTCTAGCGACAATGTTTTTGAATTAATTAAGATGGTTGAAAATTGTATGACCTTTATAATTGAGTGTAATAATGGCATGACTAGAGATAGTATGCAGTTCATTATTCAAAAAATAATAAAAACGAACTCTCTAGCGTTTGTTGGTTGTACAGGTCATGTAATAAAATTAACATACAAATTCATAATTTACTATTTAGACAGACGAATGAAAATGGCGTGCAAGCGACATAATATTGTCCATGATGTGTGGAAAAAAATTAAAATCTAAAGAACTACGCAAACAGTCAAAATATTAATTTCAGTTTTTATATTCATTATTTAATTATTTATATTAAATATATGCGGGAACATCATCATCAATCAAACCCCACACATAATACCTCATCTAAACGTAGAATTTCTCGTTATTTCCAAATCCGGAATAAAAAGTAGGGGTTCCTATGCAAAAAATCACTGTGACCTTCAAATGACCTTGAAAATCATTCTAAGTGTGTGCGTGTGTGTAACAATCTCATTTAAACAAACTTCTAAAACTTTTTCGAAAAATTTAGTTATATATATATATTTTTTTTTTCAAGATAGGAAATTCAACGTTATTCACTCAACTTTGAAAATGTACATTTACGAACAAAATAGCAAGACTTTTTTATCGTAAAACAGTATTCATTTTCTATAAAATTAATTTATCCCTTTTTATAAAAAGATCTTCGCGTGCGGGTTATCTTCGTCACCTACAGTATCATGGTCGATAACATGGAAACTGTATACGTCTCCATGGTCGATAAGCTGCGCTCATATTGTAAGTCTTCTAGTAGTTCACTAACTACCGCACGCAGTGCTAAAATCGGCTAATTACTTTGGGACTGTGACTTGGGTTTGCCGAACGCTTTAACACGGGCGGTATAGGCCTGCCTCGCCTTCTGTATACAGTCTCCATGGTTATGATACGTTTGTTCCGGGAGTAAGTGTTTTCGTTTGGGGCATGCGAGGAATAGTAGTAACTTTCTGTTGTTGGCACTATCAAAATTTTTAGCGATTTGTACGCGTTTGTACGCCCTCGTACGCGCGTATATGCGCATATGTGGCGAGGGCCTCCGTGTTTCCCAGGACTGCGAAGATAGCCCTCGGGTTTTCATGGGAAATTGTTAGCCAAAAAGGGAAAACGTCATTAATTGCTCTAATTGTCCCTGATGTACGTGGTAATTTCCCATTTACGATTAATCAACGGGAAATAAGGGGAAATCGCATATTTTCGTTTACCTACTCACTAGCTGATTTCCCTAGAAATTATTATTCGATTTTTACGGTTCAGGTCTTAAAATTAAGAATATGATTTCCGACGCCATCCCCCGTATTCACATTAATGCTAAGTATTATTAATTTAAAATAAAAATTCATAATAACATTGATGCCTCGAATGGCGGGAAAACTGTTTCATTCCGTATTTCTACGTTTCGTGGACCAAGAAGCAGAGCGTATTATACACGGCGTAGCCGGGGAGTTGGCTATAGGTATTAGGTACTTTTATTTATTTCAAATCAAATATTTTATCATCGTTCTAAAGATAATTTTGATGTATGCTACTTTTTATTAGAACTTTTTCGACATATGAAAACAATTTATTTTCCAAATGTTATATACGCTGATTTAAAAGAAATAATGGAAGGATGAAGCTTTATACAACAAAAATTGTGACGAGTACATCGATATGTGCTTACAAAATATAACTATGGATTTAGTACAGGCAGTAAAAACTGCAATCAAATTTGATGCTAATTTTGTTATACGTTGCTTTATTGAAAGAAATTATTTTAAAACAAATAATCACTGAGATTTTTACGCAAAGTCAATAATCCTTCTAAGCCAGTATAAAAGTTTGCAAGAATTCCTAGATTTATTGAAAGATATTTTTGTCACTGCTGGAACAGAATGCGTAACTGCAAATAATAAAATATGTAGCTCTAAGATTCAAACCGACTAAAATCTATACGCCGTATATAATACTAACTCATTGATATAATACTCTCTGCTTCTTGGTCCACGAAACGTAGAAATACGGAATGAAACAGTTTTTCCGTCACTCGGGGCATCAATGTTATTATGAATTATTATTTAAAATTAATAATATTTGGCATTAATGTAAATACGGGCGATGGCGTGCAAAATTATAATCTTAATTTTAAGACCTGAACCGTAAAAATCGAATAATAAATTCTAGAGAAATCAGCTAGTGAGTAGGTAAACGGAAAATTCCCCTATTTCCCGTTGATTAATCGTAAATGGGAAGTTACCACGTACATCAGGGACAATTAGAGCAATTAATGCAGTTTTCCCTTTTTGGCTAACAATTTCCCATGAAAACCCGGGGGCTATCTTCGCAGTCCTATGTTTCCCGTTCTCGAGTGCAATTTGGCGCGAAGTCACAAGCTAATATTTTTCTCTGAGATTATATGAGCTGAGCTTACCAGTAAAAATCAGTCATTTAGGAGGCATTTATTAATCATTTTTAGGTGGAATATTATTATTCATCTTAAAATCAGGCTAAACTGATAGTGGTTAGAATAATCAAAATTTGTATACATGTAATTTTATGATTTTTATTTACATACATGAAATTGTTTTAAATGCAAGAAATGGTGTTTTAACAACGTTTTGAATACATTCATGGTTCACCTGATTTATGGAAATGAACATATAATTTTAAGTACAAAAACCTCTTCCTAGTATTAATATTCCCATTAATAATATTCTTTTCCACTCGTATATATTTTTTGTAGTCTGAAATATATTAAAGTAAAAATTTTATTATTATATTGTAGCTTAAAACTACTTTTTAAGTT